GCACACAGTGATCAGTGGAATAGGACAGTGACTACCAGCAGAGATCAGTGCAGAGCAGCAGATAGTGATGAAAGAAGTGCAGAAATCAGTGCAGAGCAGTAGGCACGGATGATGAGAGCAGTATACACAACACAGAGATCAGTGCAGAGCCGCAGCCGACAGAGATGAGTGGAGATCAGTGTATAGCAGACAGGGGCGAGCAGAGATATCAGTGCATATCGAACACAGACAAGTGGAAATCAGTGCATAGCAGAAGTAGACACAGAGAAGCAGAAATCAGTGCAGACACAAACAAGTGTAGATCAGTGCACAGCAGACACAGACCAGCAGAAATCAGTGCAGACCCAGATGAGCACAGAAATCAGTGCAGACCCAGATGAGCACACAGATCAGTGCAGACACAGACAATAAGAGATCAGTGCAGACAAACAAAAAATCAGTGCAGGCACAGAGAGCGGCTAGATCAGTGCAGACACAGAGACATGGAGAGATCAGTACAGACACAGACAAGCAGAGATCAGGGCAGACAAAGATGAGCCCAGACCAACGCAGGCACAGAGGAGCGGACATAAGTGCAGACACAGAGGAGTGGAGAGATCAGTGCAGACACAGACCAGCAAAGATCAGTGCAGACACAGAGATCAGCGCACATAAGAGATTGGTGCCGACACAGAGATCAGCGCACAGTAGGGATCAGCGCAGACACAGACGATCTCAGTGGACAGCAGAGATCAGTGCAGACACAGACGATCAGCACACATAACAGATCGGTGAAGACACAGATGAGCAGAGATCAGTGCAGACACAGAGGAGCGGACATCAGTGCACACACAGAGAAGCGGAGAGATCAGTGCAGACACAGATGAGCAAAGATCAGTGCAGACACAGGCGATCTCAGTGGACAGCAGAGATCAGTGCAGACACAGACGATCAGAGCAGACAAAGAGGATCAGCACACATAACAGATCGGTGCAGACACAGAGGAGTAGAGATAAGTGCAGACACAGGCGATCAGTGCAGATATAGACGATCAGAGATCAGTGCAGAAACAGACGATCAGTGCACACCAGAAATCAGTGCAGACTCAGAGATCAGTGCAGACACAGACGATCAGCGCACAGCAGAAATCAGTGCAAACACAGACGATCAGCGCACAGTAGAGATCAGTGCAGACACCGACAGAGATCATAGCAGACACTGAGCCCAGCAGCAGTCATCGTCCAGGGAGGCTGAGTCTGGGCGGAGTGCCTTTGCACACAGGCCGCCGCCCTCTCCATGTGAGCAGTGGGAGTGGTGAAGCTGTGTGCGGCCGCTGGGGAGACTCGGGCGGTGTCGGTGCTGGAAGAAGAGGCAGCAGCGGGCGGTAGCCGGGCTCCCCGCAGGCTCATGTCCCAGTCCCGCCGCCCTGAGCCCCGCGTAGTGTGCTGTGTGTACCCCGGCGGGAGGGGAGGAGGAGCTGGGCCATGACCGTGGAGCAGAATGTCCTGCAGCAGAACTCGCAGAAGGTATGTGCGGCTCGTCACCCGACCAGCACCATGCACACCCAATGCAGCATGATAGACAGCGTCAGCGGCATTCCTAGCAGTGCACCGGCGGGCATATAGCTAATGCACCCCAACAGTGACAGCCAGGGCACCCCTTAACCTGCATGCTGAGCCATTCACCCCCAGCCTGACACACATTGCCCCCTCACCCTCTACATCCGTCACCTTTAATCTGACCTATGTGTACCCCAACACGGCCAGCCAGGGCACCCCCTTATCCCTGCATGCTGTGCTATTCACCCGCAGCCTGTGTCCACCTCACCTGATTTACCCTTTACATCTGTCACCATTCATCTGCCCTGTGTGCACCCCACATCTGTTAGCAGGGCACCCCATCATCAGGTTCATGTATAGAGAGCCCTCCCCCTCTGTAGAAGTCACATGTCTAGTGGCCTGGCCTAGACTCAGGCAGCCATATATGTAATGACATGCAGCTCTTCTACTTCCTCCTCCCAGCTTTGTAGGTTTAGCCTGGGCCAGCGTGATGAGCTGTCCTAGTCCTCCCATGCACTCCCATGGCTGCCATTCTGTTGCCTCTTTTAGGCCTTCCCTGGGTTCAGTGCATTGAAGTGTACGGTGTGTGGCTGGCTGCTGTCAGTGCATGGCCACTTCCAGGAGGTGTCAGTGTTGGCGGGGGACGCTCGGCATTCCTCAGTCCGGGGGAGGTCACTCTCCACTCAGCTGCTTTGTTTACTCCAGCTCGTGGCCTGGAAGCCTAATGCTGGAGGAGACTGTCCTATCGCTGCACCGTATACAGGGGACGCCATGATCCGAGAGGGCCTGCAGCATGACTAGAAGATTCATTCCTCTATGAGCCCACTGCGTCTGTATTATCTAAACGCAGGGAAATTGGTCTGGGAAGTGTAAATAAACGGTACATTTCAGATCCATTGCTCCTGCGTTCTGAGTATCTCACTGGCCTCATGTACACGGGGTGTCTGGGAAATTACCTGCGGACTCTTGCGGCAGGATTTCCAGGTGTGTCCCCGTACAGATGGGGCCACTGTGCCCGTTTAAGGTAATGACAGGGTGACAGCGGCTGCATCTGTCCGTGCCTGTCCGCATGTCCTCATAGATGGAAGGTACCTGTGGATGTGGAGAAATACTTGTCCCTGGATGCAATCTTTCTGCGTCCCTCTTCCCATCCGCAGCTAATCATTCCATGTCAGTACATAGTGTGAATCATATTTGTATACAGCTATTGACTTCTGTAGGAGGCCCATGCTGCTCCGTCGCAGGGGGAAATATATCGGTATTTACTTTGTATAGGCTCAGCCACCCATACGCATGAGCCCCCCATGTAATAACACAATGCCACCCAAGCTTCTGGGCGCTTCCTGGCATTCATCGGGACCATTGCAGGATCATGGGAAAGCTCAGGGTGCCAAATCTCACAACATTTGGGTTTGTTGTTGTGGGTATCGGGATTCTCGGCTTTCCCAGGACTCCACAAGAAGCCCCAGCAATGTTGCCATCACCTAGACCAGCCTTTCTTAACCAGGGTGCCATCTGGCTTCCTTGGGGCTCTGGCAAAGTGTCATGCGCTTCCATGGCACAGGTAGGCCGGCTGCCAGCACCATGAAAACAAATGAAACTAAGGAGGGTGGGGGAGGATGGACTGCTCATGTAAAGAGGGACTCTGATATCGAAGGGGGGGGCTCCTGATTTGAAGGAAGGCTTCTGATGTGAAAGGGTGGTAACCGCCTTTTTTTTTCCCCCAGGGGTCACCCTTAAAATCCATACCAGTCCCCTACTAGGGATCTGGTATGGATTTTGGGGGGGCCACACATTGGTTTTATTTGCGTTTTAGTTTTTACATTTTAGTCTGGGGTGCCTTGAGATTTTACACAGTTTTAAAGTGTGCCCCCGACAGAAAAAAGGTTGCGCAATGCTGGCCTAGATGAGCATGCTGGAAACTGGCTGTAAGGTAAGTGTTCACACCGGTTCTGTTGCATTGCGATCCGTTGCAATAGTTTTTTCAGTGAATGCTAATAGAAAAGGCACCGAAAAGTGAATGGGGCTAGTTCACACTGCTCTGCTGCGTTGGTAGAACAGCGCAACATACGTAACGCAATGGATCCGGCGTGAACTAGCCCCATTCACACCCATTCAATTTGCAGTGCCCTTCCATTAGCACTCGTTGAAAAACAGCTTGCAATGCAAGGGATGGGAAGGTACAATTGCAAGCCTAAGGACTCTCTGTTGACTTGCGATTTCCTTCTGGTTTTGGGGTGAATGGGCCCTTATTCAAGTGTTGGGCTGCAACATAAATGCATTTTTATACAAAGTCTTCTTTAGGACTCGTTCACATTACAGCACGTGCTTAGAGTGCATGCCTCAAATGCAATTTTTGGACTTGCGCTGCCCTTTGTTGCAGTGTGTTCTTCATGACCCATTCTTGTCCTGTTCTTTTTTTCTTTTATTGTTTACCTTGCCCTGCTGTGTGCTGCAGAACTGTCCTGTTTTCTCCAGCTCAAAGCAAGCAAGCGCATTTTTGTGAACTGAAGCCATAGGACATATAGCTACTTGCCTTGTGCTTGAGTTGGGACTGCATTCGACAACACAGTCCAAGCTGGTGATGTGAATGAGCCAAGAAGCAGAGCCGTTCCAGGTGGCGGTAAAATACAGACTCGTGAGATAAAATTCAGATTACTGAGAAATGATGGATTTCAGTGAATAAAATTAAGGAATACCGGTAAAAACAGTTTTTAGGCCTTGTCCAGTAAAGCAGTTGTGTATCCGCTAGAATTGCAGTTGTTCTGGTTGGCAATATTGGATTGCAGTTTTGTGTTATGATAAATTATACACGGGGCCTGAGGGATGATTGCTTTGGTGCAGATCAAGCATTTGGAAGACTTTGAGCCATATATGTGTATACTAGATAGAGGATGTCTTTTTTTTTTGTATTGAGTTCAAGGCCTCATTCACATGCACGTCCATGCAGAAACCTGCGCCCAGGAGGGACAGCTGCTGCATGTAGCTTCCTGTACAACTCAATAACAGGATGCGGGTGCACACGGCTGCAGGCCACCCTGAACTTGCCCATCCATACAGGCACGGGTGCATGCCTTTTGGACGCAGATTGTCTTGCTGTGAAAGAGGCCTCAAAGCCATTATTAACATTTGGCGCGCCACAGTAACAATTGGCGTCAGTTCAATTCATTATGGCAGTTCATTATGGCAATTCAGTTCATTATGGTAGACTTACCTCCTCGGTTTGCCTTCCCTCAGCTTTGTGCTTTCTGCCGCTGCCATCTTCCCTACTGCTTCCACATCTGGCGTCTTCCTCCTTCTGCCATCGGGCAGCCGCTGATAATGCTTTGTACTCTACAAGGGTGCTTTGTGCTCCGCTTGCTATAGAAGTCAACTGGAGCGCCATTCATAACAATGAAATGCGGGAATAGAACTCAGTCACGGGCCCTGATAGTCATTTGACCGGTCTGTCCTCCAATCATGGAATTCCCCCTTCCCATTTACACCTGTACAATGCAACGTGTTGTTAGTGCGTTGCGGCAGGGTAGCCCATTAACACCTAAATTGCACTGAAGAGGTACATGATGGTTTTTTTTTCTTCTTTTAATTGCATAATAAGTTACCTTGCATTGTGGTGTGATGCAACGCGCATGCAATAGCTAAGTGTGTTGGGGTGCCAATAAGTGATAATGGCGTACCTAACGGTGTCACATGCAGTCTCATGAGATATGGGAACGCACGCATTTACGCCTTTTAGACCTCTCGTTCAGCCTTGCAGGCTAAACGCGGAATATTGGTCAATTCCACTACAAAAAGCGTAGATGAAGGAATCTCCTCTGCTAGTTATTGTATTCTAACCGCCGACGGGACTTGCGGATGATGAATACCGGAACAGTGTCGGCATCTGATTTGATGCTGTCAATGTTCGGATGACGGTATTCTGCTTGGCTCCTTCGACTACTGAAAGATCGACTTTTGGTGGTTGGTGTTGGTGATAACAGGGCCACCCACAGCTCACACTGTGGAAGATTGTGCAGGAAGTGGCTAAAATTCGAGCAGCCTATGGCCGATGGAGTCACTAACCCAGAACAAGAATGCAGAAGAGGACCATTGACTTTTACACTGACTTCACTTATGCGCATACTAGTGTCAGGTCAATGATGTAACATAGTGTTGGGTCAGCATAACAGCCAGGCAATGGGTATTTCCTTTAATAGAAATGCAGAGCGTTTCTCCCAAATGTGCTGGCCCGTTAACCATTTGATTAGCGACATGAATATGGAGGTGGAAGACCAGCCTTGGGACCTGCTGCAGACAGTGAAGTGGCCCTGTCATTTCCAGTCTTCACAGTAACACTTGTAACGCTTGTTCGAGACAGGTGAAACCTTCCTGCCAATTTTAGAAATTTATGAGCAATTATTTTTAGCATTGGCCTTTTGAAGTTTATGGGGAGAAATCAACCTGCAGCTTTGTGTGTTTTTTTTTTTTTAGCATTATTTGGATTCTGTATGAGCGCAGCTGTTTAAGATTCTGAAGCTTGGAGCATTTCCAGAGAGACAGAAAACCCATGTGGTATGGAGATGCTCTTACTGGCAATCAGACATTTTCCTCTGCCGCTACTTATTGATTGTGTCTGGTTTTGTTTTTTGATTGCAGAGTATATTAGGTTGGCATATTGCAGAGGCATTGGTCTTTGAATTGTGGCACACATTTACTGATTGAAATGTATGTGAAGCTGATTAATGTTCTGTACCACGGGACAGTAATCTCTAGTATGCATGTCTGGGTGGCATGTGATGCCTTTATAAGTGGCACCCAATGCCATTGACTGCTGCCCCTCCTGTGCTGAGGACCCTTCCCCTGCCAGGTTACTATTCAGAGCCCTCTACTGGTGATTCTGGCTAAGCTCTAGGCCTCCTAAAAATTATCCAAGCACACTGCTAGGTGTCACCATGGCAACCCGGAAGTATCTAGGCGACTGGAGAAGT